TCGGACCACATAAAAATCTCTGCAACAAATGTATGAAGAGCATTATTAAATGTAACTTCAATTAAAATATTCTTTATATTGCTCATATTTAACAAAACATAACAAAGTAAGATAATGGAATGATAGTTAAGCTTAAAAATTATAAAACAGTAAAACAATAAGTGTGTCGCCCTCAATGGACTAGCCACTGAACCCAAGGTTGGCAGGTTCAATCCCAGCTGAGATCAATGGATTTGTAAGGGTGATAAAAATCCATTGCACAACTTCCTTCAGAGGGGAAGTAAAGCCGGCGGTCCCATGTCGTAGATTTACGGCATGTAAAAGAACCTTACGAGCATGAACGAGATGTTTTGTAAGCAAAATTCAATGGTCATTTCTCGCCGAAGTCTCCTGATTAACTGCTAGATGGCTCTGGCAGTCAAATAAAGATTGAATATAAATTGTGCAGAGGCAGTGGGCTGGTCACTCATTACTCATAAATGCACACTTCAAGAAACCTCCAAAAAGGAGGCGGTGAAAACCTACAACCGGGTTGAAGAGCATAGAAACAACAACAAAACAATAAGTGTAACAAGATTTACAAAACTGAATAACCTCCGTATATGGCAAATGACTGGTCAAAGAAAAACCTTCTTCTCAGTAAATCCTCCATCTTTGCTCTGTCAAATGTAACTGCTGATGGAACCAATGACAGCTCCTTATCTTCTAGAGTCTTTTTCCTTATCTTCAGCTCTGCCACTGCTTTTTTAACATCCAGCTCTGGAGCTCCAGCAGCCTTCAAGTTTCGAACCAGGTCACCCTACAACAATGCCACAAGTACGGGGTAACAACAGCATGTTGGGATCTTGCAGTCAATGACAGAGTGAAATCTACCTCATTTTGACAAAGTTTTAATCAAGTATAACTAGCAAATTTGAAGATTGCTGTCTTATGGGTTGCTGCGCTGCGTAGTCTGGTAGATTTCATCGCCCTGATGACGGAGCAGCATGACCTCGGAAATGATGGTAAACATCTACCAGACTACACGGCGCAACAACCCAGAAGACAGAAATCTTCAGACTCACCGCCATGAAAATCTCAAATCTTTACCAGAAACTAAACATTCATCACTGCTTATATCAGTGCCAACTACTAGTCACAAATCTGAGCCAGAATCATGTATCTCCCACTCCTACAACCCATTTTTCTTTAATATCCAAATCAGTATCGCGCTCTCATATTCTCCTCATTCTTCCAAGAGGCTATAAATCACTGTCTTCCAAGATATTGTGCCATGTAGTCTGGTAGAAGTTTCCTTACATTTCAGAGGAGCTTTCTGCCTCCATCTTGAGGGCAATAAGTAAACTGTGCATGAGGAATAGGTTTGAAATAAAGCAACCAGTCAGATAAGGTAGAACCTTTGCTGGACGACTGAGGAAGAGGGTCTCACATCTCAACCAACTCCTCACATGCTGCTTACTCATCACCCAGACGATAAAGGCAGCAAGTACCTCTCAAACATTGGTAAACCTCTATCAGACTACACAGCGCAACTTGCTAGATGACAGTCGTCAAGCTCGCCACCATTAGAACCTAAAATCTCACCTTCTACGAGGTCTTTTCCAAGTTGTTTTCAAAATTCTGCAAATTCTTGTCTCTACCAACAGAAATACAAGCCCAGCCCATCTTAAGAACCTACTTTTTCAAGGTTGTATTTTATATTTTCCAGAGTACTTCTTTTATCAAATGATTATAATTTATGATCTTCCTGCAGGAAAGACGCAGTTTCATAACCACGCAGAACTTCCACCAAAATTACTATACACAGGCTGTTAAAAAGTTCAGAGGTGCATAATAAGTCACTTGTCTTACTTCTCTCAATTTTAGCGAGAATTTTGGTTTTGTTCATTATCATATTTCCCTGAAATTTTGAAACATCTTCAAACGATTTATTACTTACGAGTAGGAGCTATACCTCCTCTCCCCCCCCAAGTGCCTACATTGGATTTAGTAAAACAGCTTTACTTACTTAGTTCACTAGTTTATTGCAGATGTCATTTCAGTGTTATGTTAACATATTCAGTTTTACTATGAAGTTGTGTGACATTAATCGACATGTTCTTGGGAGCCAGGGCAGCTCAGTAAGCAAGACTATGGGCTGGACGACCTAGGTTCTATCCCCGACAGGGAAAGACAATTTTTCCTCTACTTTCTGCATCCAGACCAGCACTGGGGCCTACCCAGCCACATGTCCAATGGATAACAAGGCCCCTTCCTGGGGTTAAAGCGCGGCCAGGGCGCGACGCTGACCATTCACCCTTATCTAGTAAGTAAAGTAAAGTTTGTCCCACTATACGCCATGTAGGCGTTTGGGGTGAGTGGAGGTACTAGAGGAAAAATCCTCTGCCCCCGTCGGGGATCGAACCCCGGTCGTCCAGCCCGTAGCTAGTCACTATACTGACTGAGCTATCCCGGCTCATACCCTTATCTAGTGCTGAGGTTAAGAATGAGTAGGAGCTTCACCTCCTCTTCCCCCAAGTGCCTACACTGCATGTAGTGGGACAGATTTACCTTTTTTTTTTGCTTTATTTTTATTTATCGAGGTGAAGGTTTACTTTCCGTGTTATAGCATTTGTTAACAATGGCGTGCAGTCTGCTGCTACAATGGATGAAGTAGACCCCCACTTGAAGATGATACACTCATAACACATCATGTAAATGACATCACCATATGTAAAGTGAGTTTCATCTCTTATACATATATATTTAATATTAAACATTACTAAGAAAGTCTGCTTTTCTAACCTGTAAAAGAATTGTTACATTATTTCTTACTTTACACATATTCTAACGAAAAATATCATACCATAAATAACCAACTAAAATAATTCCCTTCCTCACTCCATGGAAGAGTCATCCTTGAAAAGACAACAGTCGCTATCCTAGTCAAGGCATATCCCACCTTTTATGGAACTCAAAGGTTCATTATCATGTTTCCTTATAACATTTCTTAAAATTTTGGTTTTTTATAGTGAACAGTTGTTAACACTTCCACCCAAGAACCAAAGTGGGGGACCACCCTTTGTAGGCTGTCTGCAACAGTTTATACAGTACATTTACAGCTATCCTACATAGACTGAGGCCTTCTAATCAATCTGCAACCAGAAGATGCGTCATTCCATGGTGACAAGGGGTTCAAACAACATGGCTGATTGTTACTGGCATACATAATTACCCAATTAAGGCATTTATTCAGTTAGAGCCCTTCCTCATTCTCTTGGACTATCCTGATGGCACATTCCAGATAAAAAGTTAAAAGCAATTCAGATGAAACATGCCACTGTTTGAGCCAATTGAAAACTGGAAATTCAGACAGAAGTTTAGCTACACAAACCTTACTACACTTCATGAAAACACATTTTAATGAACCTAATATGTCTCTCGGGTGATCTACATCTTAAAATAGATACATTAAATGGCCGTCAAGTTGGTACAGTTTTTTAATACCCTGAAATGTTTAACAGATAATGAGTTCAATACTTTCTAGGGACTTCAATCTCCTGACTTATAATACCAAGGTACCAAGACCCTAAGTCTTAAATCGAAGAGCCCTAAGACTTAAATTGAAGACATACTGAGACATAAAACTTTATAAGCATATAAACTACTTCTCAGGACCCACAAAGAATACCAACCTAAAAGATATTATTATAAGTCTTTCCTAAATTAAAATATTATATCAAAGGCTTCTGTAAATTACAGGAAACAGCAACATGGTATTGGAAGAAAACATTTCAAATACAAATACAGGTTTAACAGACGACCAACTGCTGGTATGTGTTACTGGAAACTATTTACATGCTTCTAAGAACTACACAAGGCAACGGTTAATCATGCATTGCAACATGAAGCATGAAGGGCCATTGAAACAATCATCCTATATGAGCTACTGCATGCAACAAGTTTAGATACTGTTATCATTACAATTTCTTGCCATACAAGGAGGAAAACTCCAAGAAAAGGGAGCTCTAACAGGGAATGAGACATTCTTTGGCTGCAGAGTGAACACAATGCAATATTAGGTTATGTATTACCTGTTGCTTGAAATGTATAATGAGAAGCACGCAAGGCAAACTCCAGTTCAGACAAGGAAAACAGAATACCATGAGTGGCCATAAAAACCAATTTGGAAAATATCTATTTATTCCATCATGCAAACAAAGGTAAGTTTGTAAATAGAATAGTGAAAAAATACTAACCATAAGGGGATAATTTTACACCATGGAACACAAGATGGAATGACATATTTGTTTCAATTAATGAGCTTTGACAAAAATATTACCAATATCAGACAAAACCAACACACCTGTTCTTTAACAGATGCCCTTAAAGGAGCCAATATCTCTTCCATTTTCGGATCTGCCATTCCGTCAACAGTAAACTGGAGTCTGACTTTTCGATGTTTCTTCTTAGACCCCCACGTACTAATACAAAACACTGACGTCCTGTGTAACTTTCGATAATGAGAGAGTGGTGCGTGGACACTACAAAGAAACTGTATACCGGAACTGAACACCCAAGAGATTGGTTTCATCTGTCAGAACGCATTCCACGTTGACACAATTTTGTGCAATGCCGTCTCCAATCACTATATGGAATGCGGCAAAACGTAATTCTTGCCGGCCATACACACTTGGTCAAAAAAATGACATTAGCTACTATTTATTCGAGTTATAATTTACTATTCGATAGTATTTAGTATTCGATAATGTCCATCTTTTAAAACCGAGTGTCGTCAATACCAATATGTGAAGTGAAACTCATCCTGAAAGCGATCAATAAAGGCTGATTGGTATCCGTAAATTGTAGAATTACAAGAAGTTTCCCCATTATCAAAGAGACAGCATACGTTCATTGCGAAGAGAAGGAGTGGAAAACGCATATATAAAAACTATATTCAGGAGAAATACAATGTTAGATTCTGAAACGTTGGCATACCGTAGGATGGAAAAAAATTAGCAACGATCATAAATGTTTGTACCACAGAGTATACAGACTAGATATATGTTACTTTAAAAGCCCTAATGTTGGTATAACCCAGGATTTACCAGCCAAACCTAGGTTTTACTAAACAGTGCTGGTGAAAGGCCGAAAAAAGAATTATTCACGTCTTATTTCGGGGTTTTACCATTCGTTGTTGGTAAAATCCCATATTCCACGAGAAGACTGTAAAAGTAAAGCATAAATTTAGTAACTGACTCTTGTAATCGACACTTTTTTATATTTTCGGTTCCATAAACTACAAGTTTAGAAACATACATTCCTTTTCTAAGTTGTATTTTTAAAAAATTTAACAGAAGCCAAAGTATTAGATAAAAACATTGAGAGAAATATAAAAATTGTTAAATAAAAAAAAATATATGTATATAGAGACAACTCGCTGAGATGGGTCTCGAGAAAATACATAACTCGAGAAACGCCAGTCTTCCACACCAGTAATCCAAGCAACAGCTGTCATCAGGTAGCAGCTCTCTGATTAATAACTTGCCCAATCGGTTTTCTTCCTCTATGTCTCTCCTGTCATCCTGCCAAGAAAGACTCAGTTACTCACTTTACTTTATTACGTCATTGACCAGTAATCGTCTATGGCATAAACAAATGAGTATGAACTGCTGTAAGCTAAACAACATTTCTGTAAGCAAAGTGTACTTCGTCGTTCTTGTTACAAAATTTTTTCAAGTGTATTCCATACCGGAAAGCACACAATATCCTTGTGCGTACTTTTCAACGTGCATTTGTTGTCGTTGTTTCTTGGCTGTACAGCCAGTTTGTAGGTTTTAGCCACTTCCGTTGTCGGAGGTTTCTTGGTGATGAAGTGTGCATTATCGAGTAGTGAATGACCAGCTCACTGACTCTGCACAATTTCTACTCAATCCTGATTTTGTCTGCTAGAGCCATCTAGTACAGAATCAGGAGAGACTTGAGTGAGAAATGGCCACTGAATTTTACTTATGGAACATCTCATTCATGCTCGTAAGGTTCTTTCATATGCCGTAAATCTAATACATGGGGCCGCCTGCTTTACTTCCCCTCCGAAGGAAGTTGTGCTACGGATTTCTATCACCTTTAAAAATCCATCGACCTCGGCCGGGATTGAACCCGCGAACCTTGGTTCCAGTGGCGAGCATACCAACTACTAGTCCACGTACATTAAAGGCATTGAATCCGTCTTGTTCAATGGTTTCCACTTTGGCCACTAGACCGCAGCACCTCACTGCCTACGTCACGAATTTCCTCATCCGTCAATTTGTCATCACCGCCCGTAGATTATTCAAAAGTGCGATTTTGAAGTCGGGAAGAATGGCATAACCTACACATTAAATTTCATCCAAATCCGTCCAGTGGTTCTCGAGTTGAAATGGCTGGACAGACATAACCCTGCAAACTGCAACTCACCACATCTTGAAGTTTCTCATTGCACAAACAAAGGAAATCAGCTCAGTAAGTAAAGCTGTCTCGCTTACACACCATGACGTGCTTGGGGCGAGGGGAAGGGGGAGAAGAGAGCTGATACAGTTTTTATTCATTTTTGTTCTCGGCACAGAATGTGAGTCAGTTGTCAGCATTCCGTACTAACTGGGCGTGCTTTATCCGCCAGGGAAAAGGAAATTAACTCATTATCTATTCTAGAACAATCAGGCGTCCGTCTGTGACCTCAACAAAAACAGAATAATATGAATTTTGCGTGGAAACACCAACTGATCTGAAATGCATATTGAAGGAAAAATAATAATATTGGAAACGTTAAAAAAAAACACAACTCAAAACATTTACTCCACGATATGTTTCCGTCCACGGTTTGCAAATGTTGTTTTATAACGAATTTTACGATTTCTGATTGAATGTGGAAATTACGAATTGTTTAGAAATTTGTAGTTGGATGTAATGCTAATTAGTGTGTGGTGTTCCACCTGAGTTATCCGTATGAACGGCAAAAGTTATAGCCGAACTCAATGAAGTAACTTCCGAGAATTAAAAACAGCGACAGACAGCCCCTGGAGTTCTGAATATTAGTTTTTCCACGGTTGCCTGCCTGTCAGTTTGTTCTCATGTAACAACTAGAGACGCAGTGCGATGTTCTGTGAAAATTAATCAGTTCATCCTTGTAATAATGACGCGTTGAGTTTTCTTTGGAGAATAAAATAAATTCTTAGGCATTATTTAGAAATAGCTCAGCTTTAACGGGTTAAAATATCACTGAATATTTGCAAGAAAATCTGCCCAACTTCTGAAGTTTCTTGCGGATATTGGAATTTTTAATCCAAATGTCGCGGTCACAGTTAGTGTCTTCTTGTATCTTCCACAATCCTCTATTTTTTTTAATCTTCATTCAACGCAGTTTCGAGTAGATATGCGACCCTACTGGAAAGCAGCCAAATGAAACAGAAGAGAACTACGAAGCGTTCGCTATTGAGGCGAGTGGATCAGTGACTCGGCTACACTTCTTCCAGTTGTTGTTAAATTTACACTGAAGCTGGCGCTGGTGTTGCGTTACGTCAGTGATACTGATTGCGCGATGTATTTTCGAGAACGTCAAAGATTCTTCTCGAAACACCTAGAAAACCGCGTACTAAATTCTTCGTGATTTCTTTTCTATTAATTTCATACCATGCCAATTAAATAATTTAGAATAATATAAATTTAATGTGACTCTATAATGGTAAGCCTAGCAATATAGCAAACATTTTGAAAAAAATATTAAAGCACTGTAGAGTTGTCATATAAATGAGAACGTTCGTCTACAGATCTCACATTCAAAACAATTTTGAGTGGATGTTTTTCTCGGTCTGTCAGAATTAAATTAACCTCTTTTTTTTTAGATTTGGTTTCTGGTATTACAATATTATGAACTTAAACAAATGTTTTTTTGAATCTTGGAAGTCGCAACCCTATTCGTGTGCTCATGATTAATCGATTTGTTCAGGGAAAATATATGTATCGATATAAAACAATGCTACTCTTAGATAGGTATCTAAGGTACAGCATATTCCTCGGTAAATTTAAATTAAACAGCCCTTAATTCAACGTGCTTTTTCACGGCCATCACACAAAAAGTAATTAACAATAAACAGTGTGATCGATTAACAAGCAAGGAATTCAGCTGACAACTGTAATACGTCAATGGTACGAAAATGTAGGCGGTATCCTACCTGCATTTCTGCCTTTGAAGATGAAAGACACACTTGTCTGCCTAACGTTGGTTACCACCCACTCACAAAAGGTTTGGAGTGTTAAAACTCTGAGAGCACAGTCGACATGTGGGGGGGAAAGGCTGCTAGTCCATGGCTCTTTCTACCTGACTCTTCAAACAGCATTTCAGAACACACATTTTCACTTTGTGACGCTTGAACGAGATCGATACAGAAGTCGTACTCGGTTCGTCAACATCAACACTCGAGAAGAATTCTCGCTTCAATTAACTGCCCAACTCAGATCGAATTTCACTGTTTGACTTGGAAATAATCAGAACAAGTTCGACTTGAGATTCTCAGCGCGGAGAGTAGCAAGATGGCTGTCGTCTAGGTTGTAACGCAGTGTAGTCTAGTAGAAGTTTACAGGCGTTTCAGAGGTACTTGCTGGCTCCATCATCAGGGGGATGAGTGGGGGTTCTAACTTTGGCACATTACAATCATACAACTTTACATACCATGTAGTGTATTGGAATATAAAAATAAACATACAAACAAACTGTTTACACTACAAATCACAGTGTTTTAATGGATCTAATGTAATTTATAGTGTAAACAGTTGATACATCGTTAAATATTCTTTAAAAAAAATACAATTCTGTTGAGCAATGATTTTGGTCAATATCCTTACGTCATATCTAACAGAGGAGGGAGGTTTTACCTGAAGATGGTAGCAGAGATAGCTCCCGAAACGAAATGGTATTGTTTTAGAACACTAAAAAATAAATCAGTTCCAGAGAATCAGCATTACTGAACAAAGTTTATGTAAGTTGATAGAAAACACGACAGGATGCTACACGACTGAATTATGACGTCACCCAAATTATTTTTAGATTCCATGTCGAAAAGTTAGTATTCAAAGATTAATTATTCTGAACTGTAGAATATAAGGTATGATAAGAATATTTTCGGGCTAAATATATTTTCTATAATTGACTTATTTATCAGTTACTATCTGATCTTTGTTTGCAACCCGATGCGAAGAGCCTGGGAATTCTATTATCTTTGAAATCCGTTACACAAGCTCTGTGGTTTGAATTTTTTGAAATTTTAGACTTTGATCACGATATATATCTTCGATTTGGGTACTGACTTGAATTTTGTGAAGAAAAATACGTAGGACTGCTTTTATAGAAGTGCGGGTGGATGTCGGATAATAATTTTAACAAGAAATCCTTATTTGTTTAAATATTGTCAGTCTAATCACAATAAAATTCCTATTAAATATTAAAATATTACTATAATTAACATTTAAATATTTAAAATATATTAAATGATGTTCTCTTTCGAAATGTTCGATTTTACATCTAATGTAGATTAATGATTAGACTGACAAGATTTAAACAAATATATATTTATCACAATATGACGCAACTTTATCATCTCAAGAAATCCTTGTAATGTCAACAAACAATGTAGAAATGTGATGGTTAAAGCAGTCTCAAATGTGACATTATTTCTCAGAACCTTTTAACATCCGACCTTGAAGTCTATACTTCAGAGCATCAGTGTAAAGACGTCTATAGATTTGACAGCAGTCTCGTCGACGAAAAAAGTGTTTAAACCTTCAGTTACTCCAAAGTCTGTAACACTGGTTTATTACGTGTTCTTTGCACGATATTAATAAATTTAAAGGAAACAAAGCTTATCATATCTGTCTGTTTTCCGTTTGTCCACAATGATTCAACTCGAGTACTGCTGGACGGATTTGGGTGAAATGTGGCATGGACTTCA